AAATTATAATGTGACTGTAATGAATAATATCATTTTATTTCTATTTATAACTATTCACAATATTAATTTAACAATAATTTTTATTTGTTATAATTTATACCATATTCCAGTTAATTATTTTTTATATTAAATTATTAATATCCAAATACTTTCAATAATAAATAAAAAATGTTAAAATTTACTATTAATTACAGTTATAGAAAGTTTTCAATATTTCCTCATTGATTGTAATAAAACGATTATAAAACTATGAATTATTTGTACCAAATAAACTAATAAAAACTACTATGAACTTTTAAAACACATAATATGGACATACCCAATATGATAATGAAAAACAATCAAGAGGCTCTCAGTAGAATACCTCGAAAACAATTAAGAATAGAAGACACCAGCTTGTTAGTGATTTCCGCCATATATGGCATTCCTGATGTCATTGTTGCGAACATGACTTCCCCTGTTTTTTCGTCTCTTACTCGCATATTATATTATAACGGTCATTTACTAATTCCCAACGACACTCCATTTAACACCGAGCAAGTTCCGTTATACAGAATTCCATTTATTCCATCGTTGTTTGCACAAAACTATTTTTACATTGACTTTGCTAATTCATACACGACGGAAATGGTCAAACTGTCTGATGAATGTGTCTTAGAGTTCTCTGTTCTGACTGGGTTATCTTTACAATTGACTTTTTCAGTGATGAATTCCAATGATAAAATCACGTTCTCCACAGAAGGATTGATCACTTCAAATGGCATCAATTTCTTTTTTCCACCACTGAAGTTGAACTCGATTTTTGCATTAAAAGTGACATCAGACAAGGTCTGTTTTTATGTGGAAGGAAAAGTAATCAAAGAAATTCCGTTTCTTGTTGCGGGGTTCCAAATCAAAATGAGTTCCCCCAACAACATTCTTTTCATGTTAAATGACGGGATTTACCCAACAATTTTCGACTATGGAAAATTCAGACCATTTGCACTCCAAAACAGTACCCCTTTATTTGAAAACATCCCCCTCCACTTGCTCACTAAAATTCCGTATCAGAACGAAACTGATATGTCGGCACTGATATCGTCTGGAGTGGATTTTAACTTGATGGACTTTCGAAATAACAATTTACTGATGAGACACGCAGACTATTCGTTGTTTGCGTGCTGTCGCGTTGGGAACGACAGTGCTTTCAGAAAAATATTTCCGTCAGTCAAAAATTCTGTTAATCTCGGCACTGCGAAGAGTCTAATGCAAACTTTATTTATTACTAAATTCACAATAGGGAAGAAGAGGATTTTGATGGATATCGCCAAAGAGCATCCCTTCATTAATATTGTGTCGACTTTGGGATTGATTGGGACGGTAGGAAGTATCGAGCTCTTCCAAGACTTCTACGACTTCTTAGCGAAAGATAAAACAAAAGAGGAGCTTGGGCAGTTCGTCTATGAAGTGTTAATTAACACGATAATGGCGGGGAAGAAAGAAGTGTTCCAAACAATATGCTACACGGCTGCAATAACTAAGATGAACGAGCAGATGAAGATGGACATTGTCATTCATATCACCAAATATTGCACAGTAAATTACTTAAAGGAGTTTGCGTCTGGGATTAAAGAAAAGGACTTTTCAAAATATGAAGTTGGGGTGTCTCCATGGAGTGACAAGAGTGTGATTCAATACGCACTTGAGCTTGGATGCTCAAATAAAAACGCGTTGGAACAAGCTGCTCTGAACAACTTTGAAATGTTTCAAATCCTCATTGAGCTCGACCATTCCAAAATTAATAATAAAATCAATGGGCAGAGTCTGCTCCATATTGCAGTGCAAAAGGGTGACTCGAGACTCGCCAAGTTTCTTATTGAAAATGGTATTAATCGAGAAATACAAGACAGTAATGGGAAGACTGCATTGGATTTGGTAGTGCCAGGGACTGCAATAGGAAATTTGTTACTCCCATCTCCTAATATGTGTACGACAAGTGGCACATTGAAAGAAGATGTCTATGTTTTCTATACTAATTGTCAGAAGAAATACGTTCTAATTAAAGGACAGAAATTACTTCTTGGCGACTTTGGAGACCGAATGGGGAATGAAGCAAGCTGCGCCTTACCAGATACAAAAGAAAATTACTGGGAGAAGTGTCGGATCATGCGGGTGCAGACTTCTGAGGGGAAAATGATTCTTCTTGTGTCGAATAACATGTTGTACAAATCGAATGAAGTCAAGAAGAAAATTATCATCTGGGATCGAATCAATCCCGTTGTGGTGATCGACCCGATCGACATATTACTTGAGGAGCGTAACTGGTGCGTCTGCCAGAATGAGTTGTTTGTCATCTGTGAAAGTCCATTAGACTCCGAGACAAAACTACTGTATAAGAGTGAATTGAAGAGTGGCGCTTTATTCAAGTGTGTTGGGAAAAGCGAGTTAAAAACGCGCAGTGATGTGTTAATGAATGTTTCTGGTGTATTAGTACTTGTAGCCTTTTGCTATCAAGTTCTGAAAGATGGGAAAATGAAATATATAGTCGACCCAACGCAACCGAGTTTTGATCACTTCTATGTGTATAGTGGAGAAGAGTGGCACGAGTGGTTTATAAGTTCGATAGAGGATCTTCCGTTAATCGAAGTGGTTGAGGTGTGTGTCTGTGATGAGTCGCATATTGTGTTATTTGGGACTGAAACGATCCATTTCATTTTAGACGTTTTTGCCACTTCGATACTTTCATTCAGAACGCCAGATGTTCTCAATGAGGACAAGACTATTAGTTGTGCTGGAAATGTCATTGTCAACAACAAAAAGGTCTATTTGAATAGCGCGATACTGACTAAAGCACAAAGCTTTGCTTTGTTATTAGCAAAGGTGTATTTCAAAACGGTTTTTATTATCAAGTGCAGTGATACAAATTTGTTCTATGAAGTGTCACTCATAAAGAAGTTCGATTTCTTTAGAGAGATGATAGAGAGCGGCGTGACCGAAGTGCAAGTGACAATGTGTGGAGGTGTTGTTCGTGTAGTAATGGGGATGATAATATGTGGGACGAAACTGTATTGCGACAAAAATGCGATGAAATTCAACACCCAACTCTTCTTCGACGAAATCATTAAGAACACACCCGTGCAATTCAAAAACGACACAAAGAACTTGGAAGTTCTTTTTACAGAAAATTACAACGATTGGAAGCAAAAGTTCTCGTTTTCACAAGGAGAAGGCGACGTCGACTTATTAGTCGAAGGAGAAAAAGTCCGAGCGTATAAGTGGATTATCACGACACTATTCCCGTCATTCTTTTGGGTGTTAGAAGACAACATTCATGAAATTACAGTAAAGGATGAATTACTCGCAAGACTGGCAAAAAGTTTCGACGATTTTGATAAGCCGATTTGGGCAGACTACATCGCGGCGTATATCTCGGAAAGTATTGAAGGGATGGAGGATTAGGTGTTGATTCATGTGATAATTATAGTTAGTTAATTAAATTAATTTTATTATTCTTTAATGCAACGAATTCCTCAATCTCATAATTAAAAATTGAAAACCTCAAAGTTTGTTTAATAAAAAAATACTGTTATAATGTTTATTTGATATTTATAACCAAATAATCAAAAAACAACAAAAAGGAGTGAAAAGCTGTCGATTACTTATTTCTTGGCAAGGCAGAATTTATAGAAATTCTCGAAAGTGACTTTTCCGTCAGTGACATAATCGTGGATTTCAGTTGGGAAAGCTTCTTCAAGGATTTCAAGATTGACAATCTTGATGAATGGATAGATTTCTTTCACATCAAGACTGTAATCACCTTTCTGGAAGGCAATGTAGATCTCTTTCTTCTTCTCGAAATCGCCATCAAGTTGAATGAAATAAAACATGTAGATGAATTCTTTGAGCTCAAGCTTCTCATCATGATTTCCATCAGCAATGGTATAAAGGCCATCTGAAACAGCTCTGTCAGTCACACCAAGTCCCTTGATACCTTCGAAGAATTCGGCTCTGTCGAGTCCGCCGTCGTGGTTGGTGTCGAGTTTGGCGAATGTGGCTTTAAGTCCTTCAATATTGATTGACATGTTTTAATGATTTATCATCTCTCAAAATTCCTTAAATAGAATCGCTTTATTTATAGTCATTTAAATAGTTTAAAAACCAGTGTTTTGCTTTTTAAATTTCAACAAGAAAGAAGAATATTATAATATTCTGTTATGCTGTGAATTAGGGATGTTTATTTAAATTATAACCAATTGTTATATTCGCAGTAATTGGTTGTTTTCTAAAACGTGTTATAATGTGGCGCCTTAGAATATTTTTACATGAATTCACTGCAATTTGTTGGGATTGTCCCATAAAAAGGGGAGAAACTGATATTATGGATGATATTGTAGATTGAGTTTTTTGAACTTGAAATGTTTTAAATAGGAAATTATAGTCTAAACGTGTGTAAAAAACGGGACAATAAAAACGAGATTTGTAAGAAAAAAAAAACAAGTTAAAGATTTGTAAGAAATCAAAATAGAAAAAATAGATTGATTAATAAATATCGATGTCGCATAAATAATTACTATAAAATGACCATAATCCCTCTTTGTTTTATTATATTTTTTAGATGTACTATATATATAGTAAACATAATTATATTATTATAATTTATAATTATGTTTTATCATAATTTGATTTCCCAAAAATGTAAAATAATAAATAATACGATTAAAAAATTAATTTATAAAATAATATAAATAATTATAAATAATGTTCAATAGTTTGTGAGAAGTTTAATTTAAATACATTATATTTTTGTAGATATAATGTATTTAATATATATATAATAATAATATAAATTATATATACCATAGTGTTTATATACTATTCATAACTATATTATTAACAATAAACTGATCTATTGTTAATAATAAAATAATTATAATACTTTTATATTTTGCTATTCATTTTGGTAAGTAAAAGTTTTTTTTTATGGTAAATGAAATATTTTTAAATATAATTAAATGTAACCATTTACAAAAAAATGAAAATGTTATTGTTTAATTGAATACAACAATTTATTCCTAAAATATTATTGAACACAAGTCAAGTGATTTATGAATCGGGAAATCTCGAGGTTATAAACAACTTTCCCTTTTTTTAAACATTTACAATATATATAACTTTACACAGTTTATAGATAAAAAACATCAAAAAGTGTATATATATATCCCGGTAAATTAGGCAGGGTCGGCCAAACGATCATGTTATTGAAAAAAAACTTAAAAAACAAAAAAATGGTAAATAACATTGATTTTTTTAATTAATTATTTATATCAGACAAAACACAATTATTCTTTACCAAAAAATGAAAAAAAAAGAAACAAAACGATAAATAATTTAAAAGACGTAATTTAAGGTTATTTTGAATATTAAAAGAAGAATTCATTTTGGATTCTTTATTATATTATTATATAAAGATAAAATCTTAAAACAAATAAAACAAACACCTGTCAAAGTAGATTGGATACAAGACAAGTTGGCGGATAAAATAGATACTAAAACATTTTATTGCATCATTTGTGGTAAAATTATGAGCTGTAATGGTTTAAATTTACATACTTTACAACACAAAACAATATTTGCTAATATAGAACTTAAAGAATGTTTGATAAAATCGTATTTTAATGGAAAACAATTTTCAATTAATTGTGAAGGTAAAGGAATTGATTCTTATTTTTTTGAAAACCAATTAGAAAATGAATATAACACAAGAAATAAGATAAAAGAAACAAACATGACTATTGCTCAAATAATATCTGAAAATGATTTATTATGTAAAACAGATGTAATTAAAAATATAATACAAATAATTATTCAAGTTGCCGAAGAATTTGGAATTAACACAATAAATAAACTAAGTCTTTCAAGAACATCAATGAGGCGATTCTCAGAAACTGTATTTGAAAAAGAAGAAGAGAAAAAGTTATACATAATACAAGAATCTAAATATGTTTCAATCCAGACTGATGAGTCAAAGATACACTCACATTCTCAATACATTTTTTGTTGTTGTACAATTAACCAAGAAATTATAATACATAATTTTATATTAGAAATGTCAACGCTCGAAACCAAATCAACATAAAAAGAAAAATATTCAATAAATTAAAAGTTATAATAGATAAATACAAAATTAGCCAAAGCAAAATTATTTCAATAACCACAGATGGGGGTGCCAACGTGAATGGCAAAAACAGTGGTGCCGCGACATTATTTTGTGAATATATCAACATGGTTCCAAAACAATTACAATGTGATAAAAATTGGTGTTATTGTCACAAAATTAATTTGATATCCAAATCACTTGAATCAATATCCACTGTAAGCAAATTTGTTAATTTTTTCAGAACAATTTGTAACTTTTTGATAGAAGATTCAATCTGGAGCAAAACACACAATTCGGCAGTACCAACTGATTGTTGTACACGATGGTTAAGTGTTGGGGAAATAATTGTGTTTGTTTACAATAATTGGAGCGATATTGAATTAAGATTGTTGGAAATGTGTGTTGAATATACTGTTATTGATGATGTTGATATATTAGAATGTATATTGTTTTTTCAAAATAAAAATAACTATTTTATAACTTCTTTTTTAATTGATACAATTGTAAAATTGAACAATTTAAACAAAAATTTACAAATTGAAAATGGGTTAATTGTGAAAGAAACTGGTAAAATTGTTAATTTTTACAACAATAATAATGACAAAAGCACCAAATTAAATATCAACGATTATTTTGTATTTGAAAATATAAATAATTGTAATGTGGTTATTTGTTCGGCACAAAAAGAGTTGTTTTTGGAAATATCAGAAAAAATTAAAAAAGGAATCGAGTTGAGATTTATTTGTGTTAAATTTAATGGTTTTGAAAGTACAAGTAATTTGGTTTACTCAAATTTGGAAATTTATACATTGTTTGCCTTATATTTTGGCAAAATAATAAAAAACAAACAAACTGTTATACCTTTACAACTCAAATATTTGTTGGAAAAAATTGTTCAACTTAGAACCGTTGTCAATGATGAAATAGAGTTCGTGTTAGTTAAAAACATGGATGTAAATTGTTTTGATATTTACTCTTATGTTGATATAATTAAAATATATCCAAAATTGTGGAATTTTTATTTGTATATCTCTGCTGTATTTCCAACAAGTACAATGAGTGAATCTGGTTTTTCTATAGCAAAAAATACCTGGCAACCAAACATTTCATTTTCTTCATTCAACGCTAGAGTCGTGCTTAAAAAGAACAAATCAATATTGTAATCAAAAAACAATTTTTTAATTGAAAGATTTTGAAATGTTGTTTAATTTGTTAACTATCGTTTTATTGATTTAAAAAAACAATTTTACATCAAATTTTTTTATTTGAATTATTATTTACAACTTGCTAAAACTAAATAAATAATGACACGTATTTGAGATTGCCACGAAGTTGTTTAAAAACTGGATCTTGGCCGACCCTGAATTAGGTTAATAATATATAATTTAACTTTAAAAAATATCTGGTGTTAATTTTTTGTAATATTTCACATTTTTTTTATAACAACCACGGTCTCCAGTTTTAGGGGGACCGAACACATAGGTTTGGGGTTTATTTTCTCAAAATCGTCGAGAAAACAAAAGAAAAATAAAAACAAGAGACAAAAGAAAAATAACAATTTTAATGATTTTCTTTTTCATAACACAATTTTTTTTAATTTAATAAAAAAGTGAGCTAAGCAAAATGTCGATTTTCTGATAATATAATATTGAGGGGGAAAATGTTATTTGTATAAAAACTAAAAATAAAAAAACAAAATTGTTGAAGGGAATCGGGGAAGTGTTGAAAAAATAGAATTAAAACATTTATTATAATAAGATCATTCGACGTAAAATTTTGGGAAAAACACAACAAATTCAAATTGTAAATAAAGTTGAAACATAGATGGTTTAAAAATATTAAAATAAATGGAATTGATTACTATAACTTTTATTGTGAAGATTGTTATAAGTTCATTTGATTTAACACAAATCGAATTTATTATTATTGATTAACATATTATAATTATTATAATTATTATAATTTTTAAAACAATTCAAACCAAACCCACCTTAACAGGTTTTATTTTTTGTGTGTTTTTTTCTGTTAATTTATTTCACCATAATACCGTTTTTGCTTCAATCTATTTTTTGAATAATAAAAACTTAGCCTTACTATTTTTTATTTATATTAAACCATTACTTTGAAAGTATAACTATGATAATATTTTCATTTGATTTTATAAAGTAATAATGATATTAATGTAATTATATCATTTTATTGATAGTAAATAACGACATTGTAAATACACCAAGGTTTTACTGTTTTTAAACAATAACGATAACGATGTTGTCCCGAAGATGATAGTTAGAGTAATAATTTTTTACTTTCGACGCGTTGTTTAAGAAACAATATTCACAATTATTTTTTTGTCAAATTGAATATGTTTGAAAAATATATTATATTTGAAAGAACATAGATAATGGTGTTTGTTTTGATAGTCTAATTGATCTTGTTATTCCGCTATTTTTTATCACTAATTAATAATTAGTTTATTTTTTGAAACAAAAAATATAGTTGTTTTTAAGAATTATATAGTTTGTTTTATTTTTCAATTTTATTTTCACCAACTCAGAATTTTTGTTCACATCTCAAAAATAATCAAATTAAATTTTAGATAGATTTTTAGTAAAAAAATAAAACAATCACACCAATAAGTTGAATAAAAACAACGGAACGTATTACGGAGAATTGACAAAAACGCAAAACAGACAAGTCAGCAAACTATTATCTTTTCAATTCATTGAACTACAACAAACTGTGTTATAGAATGTATTAAAACTATAAGTAAACATGTTTGTTTAATGTAATGTATATATTATTTTATATATTCAATAACAATGACATTCAAGGTGGTTGAAATGTACTTGATAGTGAATCTGTTTTGGACACTCCAAGTACATCGCCTAATACTAAAAATTTTATCGGCTTGAAAATATATGTCTCGGGATTTTTGATGTTTCTATTGAGTAAATCCCGAAAAAATATAAAAATTATATCTTCGATATAATATCTTATTTAAACTAGTTGTTATTTGTTAGTTGGTTTGAGTAATATCCTTGTGCAGAAAAATGTTAAGAAAAAATAAAACAGGCATGACAGTCTTTTTTAAAAGACCAAACGACAAAAAAAGAAAAAAATAACACTGCCTAATAAAAAAATTAACAGGGAAACAAGGAAACGTGTTAAGCACAATTCAATTACTCTTTATTATTTTTTCGTCCTTTTGAATTGAATTACCATTGATTTTCAAAAATTATGGGTTTATATATTATTTAACTATAATAAAACAATAAAAATATTAGACTATGATTAATCGAATTATATTAAAGTCCAAATCATATTAATTTTAATATAAATATGTATTTGTTAATCCAAAAATGCATTTATTGTTACATTTCAACTTTATTGAAACAAACAAGTACCATTTTTTGTGTATTGTGTGGCATTGCTTGGTAATTGATTATTCCCGATTTTGTATTTAAAAAATACCATATTGTTTTATATCCTATTGGGCCCGATAAACAAAACAAAAGATTAATGATGATAATAACTATTTTTCACTCCATTAAGAAGTTACATAAAATGCGCTCATATAATGTCATTATTTTTGTAAAACATTTTTTCACAAAAATAATTGTATAAATTATTTTCCAAAAATGTTTGATAGATGGTTTTCTTCTTTACATTTCACAAGACAATATCAACATTTCCGATTTTCTGGGACAAAAAACAAAAACACCAACTCAAAAATGTAATAATTATTAAAAAGCGTTTAATTTACCAAAGATTATTTTGAAAAAAGCACATTTATTTCTAATCGTGTTGTTGTGACAAAACTAAATATTAATCACCATATTATGTCTGTTTTGGAATCATAGATTATTTCTCATTTGTCATTGATCAAATCCCAAAATATTAGTATAATCATGGCCAAATCAAACAAAATATTGTATAATATATTTACTAAAAAATATAGTATTAATTTTCGCTTTGAAAAATGGTAAATTTTTATTAGTTTTGTCCATTCTCTTGTTTTTCCCATTGAAAAATGTAAATTTTTTTAATTATTTACCAAATTATCATTTTGCCTCAAAATGCTTGTTATTTTGCCATTTCTTTTATTCGTTTACAATTTTCCATAATCTTTATACTCTTTTTTTTCTTGTTTTCCCCGAAAAAAATAGAGAAAAAAAGGTAATTATAATCAATTTCTTACTAATAATTATTAAAAAATAAACCAAGTTTTATCGAATTTTGGAAAACCTAAGTGTTCGACCTCCCCCCAATTCTGGAGACCGTGTTAACAACTACATAATTTAACATTAAAAAAACAATAATAAATAATAAAATAATACTATATATAGTTATTTATGAAAAACATAGAGAGAGTCTGAAAAGGGTTTTCCAAAAAATAGGGAAAAAGAGAGAAATTAAAAAATAGATGGACAAAGTGACTCCGTTAATCATCAACTCTCGCTTTGTCAAAATACAGGGCGACTTATATGAATACTTTGACCTCCGAAAAACGATAGTCCCAAAAGACTGTGGAGACAACAACATAGCAATTCAACACAGCACAACACTTCCACACAACGAAAACATCGACAAAACAAAGAGTTTCGATAATTTACCAAAAACCCCGGTGCAACTCCCAGACTTCTCACACGTATTCTCCCCAACTCCTTTTGAGGTCTTGCGACAAAATGAAAAGGAAAAATCCAATGATAAGCAAATAGTGACTTCCAAACCACTTTACACAAAAATAACTCACATTCCTCAAATAACAGACATCACCCCAATACAAACACCGGACCAACAAACAGAAATGTTACAAGACGACGTTCCAATGAACAACGAAACACCACGACCAAATCACACACCATCGTTGCAGAAAGAAGAACAGTTGTACCCGGGGTCCAAGTCCGAGTTGGAGAGTTTTTGCCCAAGTAATGCGGAGCATATATCACCGGAACAAAAGAGTGAGGAAGACCCACATATTGTGGTCAACTTAAAGACACTCCAAATATTCAAAGTCATCACAAAGTATATTCCAAGTAATGGCAATCACCCAAATAAAATGTTCAAGTACTACGTGCCATCAACTCAACTGTTTTACACGACATACCCAGAGGACAAAGTCATGTACTTAGTACGGTGGGAAAAATTTTCATATCTTGAAGCGACGTGGATTTTAGAGAAGGAGGTGTGTGCAGAAAATGATCGAAAAGGTCTTGTGAAGAAGTTTGAACACGACTGGAAGTATCACAAATATTTATCAAATCAAGTAATTAAGGCCTCTTGTTACCCCGAAATTGATGAAATTGTCCCCCGCAGCTTTTTAGTTCCAAGTAAGATCTTAACTGAAATTGATCGCAGAGACCAAAGTGGAAATGTCATCAAGATGTATCTAGTGAAATGGGTGTTAGGGAGAGAGGTTTTTGTCTCTGAAGAGACCACATCGATGTTTGTCGAGGAGAATTATCACAACATTTTTAATCGGTTTAAGAACAGTGGTGGAGCCTTCCCAATTGAATTTACAATGACACAAATGAACGCGAAAATGGCTGGAGAGAATATATTAGAGAAGTATGACGTATTAACGATTTGTGGAGGGTTTGGGAAAAGGAGCGTCGGACTTGGGTTATTTGGAGAACTGATGACGGGAGAAAATAAGAGGGGGATCATCTACTGTGAAGGGTCGAGTTTCAGCTATTACACCGACCAATTGCAATTCTTGTTTCCTGGGAGAAATGTGACTTATATTAACTCGTTACCGACATCGTCACAACTTGAAGGGTTGCTTGAACTTGAGTTGTACGACAATGAAGGGGAAATGAAGTCACAAATAGTGGTGATGTGTTGCAAACACTTTGCGTTCAATCAGGAAATACAATTTGATGTTGGGTTTGTCGATTTCCGGAGTGATGAAACCATTAAAATAGAGAAGTGTGACAAATATATCTTTGTGGGAGAGAACATTAAAAAGGAGTGGGTCAAAAAGGTCACCGGGAAGAAATGTGGGGAGGTGGAAGTGAAAGAGCACTGGCGGCCACATATATCGGAAGTTGTGATCATCGAAAAAATGACGGAGGAACAGTTAGTTGAGTATTGGCAAATAGAAAGAGGGGAAGAGAGTGAGGGGAAGTGTGAGGTTCTTCGGAGGATGTGTGAACAAAAGACTCTACTAGTGACCACCATATGTGATAAACAATTCGAGAGATATAGAAAGCTGGGAAGCGTGTGGTAGTGATTGGTCGCTATCAAAGTTTTTAAAAAGTATTGTTGACAAATTTGAAGGTGAGATAATCCAGTGGGAACGATCAGAATTAGTACCATCGAGTGTTATAACGGCTCAAGTGATTTGTGTAGAGACGAGTGGCATAGGGGAAGGGATTGATTTAAGTCAGAATGAATTCAGTGTAATAATTGGTGATTATTCTGAGGAGGAAATCAAAGTGATTCATCGCCAAATGCGAATGGGGACGAAATGTGACTTAAAAATCATTCGGATTGTCTCTGGGTTCACACGCTTTGAGGAGAATTTACTCCACGAGAAGTTAAAAGGCGACAAGAAGTGGAAGCGTGGGCGGCGTGGGAAAGGGCGGTGGAGGAAAAAAGAGAATGAGGACCCAACAAAACGTCGTGAGAAGTATGAGGAGATGATACAACAGGGGAGAAATGAGTTACAATTTAAATATGAGTTAATGGATACTGAAGTGATTGTACAGAAAGCTTTAGAGAGTGAAGAGAGTGAGATGGTTCTCATTGAATCCAACAATCAAGAAATTGAAAGTTATGAAAAAGACGAAATAATCGACGCACAGCATTCGATGAAACTCGATGACAATGAAAGTTCGTTTCCTTTGGACGAAAACGAGATTTTCATCGAACAAATTGATAAGATGGAACGAGAGAAATTCGGTCGTCAAGTCAAAATGGAAGTTGAGAAAGTCGGAAAGTTGGAAAAAGTTGAGAAAATCGAAATTCCGGAAACCCCGAAAATTACAGAGAAAATCGAAACGACGGAAAACGACGAGAAAGGCGAAAAAGCTGTACTTTTGAACTGCGAAACTCCTAAACTCGCGACGACTTCGGCGGCGCAGACGGTTAAGAGTTTGGACGGCGGCAAGAAGTTCACCCAAATTGAGACTTTTGGAAAGGAGGTGATAGCGCCAAATAACAAAGAAGTGAATATAACAGAACTTCCTCAGATGATTGCAAACTCCGACACAAGAGAAAAAGTCGACGACCGCAAACGCGTCTCCAATGAAGTGATTTTACGCGATGATGAATTTACAATGACACGAGAATTGATAGTCCAAAAAATGAAAATGAATGGGATTGGGGAAAGGGAGTCACGCGAGATCAGTTGCAAACTGGTGAAGACGATGGAAAGGTATGGTGTCGATAAGTATTATTGGCCATCAAGTTGGAGAGAGGACTTCCGAAAAGAGGTCTTAAACACAGTCACCACATTTGTTGAGCGAATTCGGGAGGTTGTAGTGAGTGAAAAATTGTACGAGAGTGGAGAGAGGTACATGAAAGTAGTCAACGCAATGAAAGAAATTAGTGATCTTTCATTTGAAAGAGAAGCAATTAGTGTGGAAGGAGTCTGGGGGATGGCTGGAGACTTAATTTTGATAGAAGAAGCCGCGAAGAGTGGAGTCGAGTGTTTTTCAATTTGGATGGAAAACCCACTCATAAAATTTCTCGTTGAAAAGATGGGCTTAGAGAGTGAGAACGACAAGATGAATTTCTTGAAACAGCGCCTGGATGCGTTGATTGGGTTTAAGAAAAGGTGTGGATATGGGATGAAAAGGTGTGTCTGATAGTTTATAATTTGGTTTTGTAAATTGGTAGTTGCGTTAGTTATCTTACAGTAGATTGTTCTCATTTGTTATTCGATTTTTCTAAGATTTTTGAACAACTAATAAAAAGTGTTAGTTTTGACATAATCGCACAGTCGATTTTCTATTCAAATAGTAACAAAATATTATTAAGTCATCAATTCAAGTAATTTAAATTCAGTTTATTGGAAACTAAGGTGTTCAAATTGAATCAAGTTATAATAAGGAAACACAGAAGAAAATAGAGTTGAAAAAATATAGATCTCTAAAAATCAACAAAAGATGTGTTACTAAAATTACACTTTTAAAAACAGCTATTTTTCTCCTTGACAAGCAGGAAATTGTCGTATTTTTACATGGAAAAAACGAATGCATTTCAAAATGATATGACTTTACTTTCAAAAAAATGCAGTACGTCGGGTAATTTGAAAAAAATAATTTGTGAATAAATTATTGAATAAATGTATGAAAAAAAGTACTAAAAACAGCGAAGGTCTTTTGGAAAAAATGGCAAAAAAAACGGTATTATGTAAATGTTTGTATTATAATAAAAGTTAAAAAACAAATGACAAATGATAAAAATGTAATTAAATTAACCATAAATATTAGAATATGACACCAATAAAACAAATAATTTGAATAATCAATAAAAATTGAATTGAACAAAACAACAAACAGAATTATGAAATATTTAAAGGAAAATCGCGGCAATACGTGTATGTTTATTTCCAAAGGGAGGAGTTCCCGAAAGGGTGGAGAAAAGCATTTGTAATACCCAAATAACAAAGATTGGAGATCTTTGAGTTTTTTTTGGATATAAAAGATCGATCGAAATAATGAAAGCAAAACCAAGATGAGCATCTCATTTAACATCAATTACATCACAATTCCTGACCAAATGTTGTACGTAGTCTTCGACGACGGTAAAGAGGTCGAACTTAAATGGACCACAGGACATAATTGGGTCGGGGAATGTAACATTAATGTACCAAAAACTTGCACTTGGTACTATATTGTAAGAAGCTATGCAACTAAAATAGATCTCAGAATCGAAGAAGTCATTGGAACTCGAACATATACTTTCACTAAGAATTGCCATGTTAAAGACTGGTGGTATTATCCGTTTTTGACAGATGTAGAGGAGGTCGGGTCTGAAGAAGAAGAAGCTGAAAAACAGAAGACACTTGAAGAAGAAAGAAAGAAAGTAGAAAAGGAAATGGTTGAGAAGAAAGCAAAGGAAGAAGCCGAAAAACTTGCTAAGGAAAAGAAAGAAAAAGAACAGGCAGAACGTATTGCTAAAGAAAAACAAGAAAAGGACGCTAAAGAACAAGCTGAGAAGGAAAAGAAAGCAAAAGAGGAAGCTGAGAAATTAGAAAAAGAAAAAGCTGAAGCAGAACGTAAAGCCAAAGAACAAGCAGAAAAACTTGCCAAAGAGAAAGAGGTGAAAGAGAAACAAGAGAAGGAAGCTGCTGAGAAATTAGCTAAAGAGAAGGCTGAAGCTGAGAAGAAAGCCAAGGAAGAGGCGGAGCGACTTGCCAAAGAAAAAGCTGAGGCTGAACGCAAAGCTAAAGAATTGAAAGAAAAACAAGAGAAGGAGGCCAAAGAAGCTGCTGAAGCTGAGAAATTGGCAAAAGAAAAAGCTGAAGCCGAACGTATTGCTAAGGAACAAGCTGAGAAAGAAAAGAAAGCAAAAGAGGAAGCTGAAAAGTTAGCGAAGGAAAAGGCCGAAAAAGAGGCAAAAGAATTGAAGGAAAAAGAGGAAAAAGAAAAAAAAGAGAGAGAAGAGGCTGAGAAGAAAGCTAAAGAAGAGAGTTTGTTGTATTTTTATAATAAAGAACGTTTTATTGTGAATATAAAGGATAGTAACAATTGATGGTAAATACGTCATAATTATAAACTATAATTAGCGCAGTAATGAATTTATCATTCTTTAATTCTAAGTATTATACTTTAATAGAAATAATACTTAAGTAAGTATATTATTTATTTTACAATTAAAATAATAAAACTAACAGATAGAAAAAAAAGAGGAAGAAAGACTTTTGAAGGAAAAGATTGAAAAAGAAAAGAAAGCCAAAGAAGATACTGAACGAATTGCGAAGGAAAAACAAGAAAAAGAAGCTGCTGAGAAATTAGAAAAAGAAAAAGCTGAAGCAGAACGTAAAGCCAAAGAACAAGCTGAGAAGGAAAAGAAAGCAAAGGAAGAAGCTGAAAAGTTGGCGAAGGAAAAGGCAGAAAAAGAGGCAAAAGAATTGAAAGAGAGAGAAGAGGCAGAACGTATTGCTAAAGAGAAGGCTGAAAAAGAAGCAAAAGAAAAGGCTGAAGCTGAGAAGAAAGCCAAGGAAGAAGCTGAAAAACTTGCCAAAGAGAAAGAGGAGAAAGAAAAGAAAGCCAAAGAAGAGGCAGAAAAGTTGGCGAAAGAACAAGCCGAAAAAGAAAAGAAAGCTAAAGAAGCTGCAGAGAAGAAGGCCAAAGAATTGAAAGAGCGAGAGGAGAAGTTGGCGAAAGAGAAAGCGGAACATGAAAAGAAAGCGAAAGAACTTGCGGAGCGGAAAGCCGCGAAAGAGAAGAAAGAGAAAGAAGAGCGAGAGAAGAAGGAGAAAGAACTAGCAGAGAAACATGCCAAAGAAGAGAAAGAACGACTTGAGAAGGAACGCAAAGCAAAGGAATCTGCGGAGAGAAAGGAAAAGGAAAAGCGCGTGAAAGAACTTCCACAACTTGATGAGAATGTTGGATTCTTCCCAGTTGGAGAAAGGGGAAGTCCAAAGAATTCGGCTAACAAATCATCTGAGAAAAAGTCGGACGAAGAAATACCAGCAGCAAAAACTTCCGCTACAAAACACTCGTTGAAGAATTCAAAGATCTTCGAACAAATTAGTAAGTATGAGGAACTCTCAAAGAAAGGAAAGGAATCGGCTGATAGACTGAAAACAACTGGTAGTACATCGGGAAGAAAGTCGTATGGGAAATCACCAGTCAAGTCACCAAGTAAATAAATACACATTCTTTTAATATGGTTGGTAGAAGTATTAATATATAATATATTTCATTATAAAATAAAAATGGCTGGAATAGTTAATTGAATAGTATATATTTACTATATGTGTGTGTCATTCAATAAATAATAACTTTTAATAAAAATAATAATAAAATTTCAGAATTATTATATTTAATTTTTAAATTAATAAGGATTTAAAAATGAAATTGAAAAAAAATGTCAAAAGTTACAATTTTTTTTGAGAATAAAAAAAATATTTAATAAAATGTATTATCAAAAATATATTTATAATAGTAAATTGTGATAGAGTTTGTTGTTAAGAAAACAACTAATATTGAACTAATATGTATTCTAACGGGCTATAGAATTAAAAAAATGATAAACAAAGTTAAATTATCAGTTTCAATTAAAATAAAAAAATAAAAGGATTGTTTTTAAACGAAGAAACAAAACAGAAGAAAAAAAAAGACGTGGATACTCCAAAGAAAAAATAGACACAGTTTTCACGAAATGAAGTCTAGTAACAATAAATTATAATAAAATTAATAAAGAATTAACAAGAATGAGCGAGATGCAGATTCCCCAAAATAGGGAATTGAATCGGCAGATTAAAAGAAATAATTCAAAGAATATAACAAATGAAAAAAAGGATTTAAAAAACGGATAGTAAAAGAATAAGAAAGAAATATTAAAAAAAGAAGATATAATAAAAGAAACATAAGAGGAAGTAATGACAGAGAGAAGATGACGAGGAAGGCAAAAAGGACTTTGTTGAACACAATCAAGAAAGAAAAAAGAAGAGAACTATAAAATTAGGGAATGAGTTCACGCGAGCCCAACCACACAGAAGGCGACGGGACAGTTCAATGGACTGAAGAAGAACAACACGAGTTGGACAAAAACATGGTGGAGTACCCCGAGGACAAATTTACCGAGTTGAAGCGGTACACACTTTTACTCACAAATTTACCACACAAGCGCCTTCGTGATGTTGCTGCGAGAGTGAAGTATATGAAGTACCGAGAGGTACACCCTGAAATGACTTGGCAAGCTTTCTGTAAAGATAAAAGTCTTATTCGGCCACAACGAGTTGTTGTAACGACTAAAGTCCCAAGTAGGTCATCGAGTCAAGACAGTGACGTCGAAGGGTCATCCGTTAAAGGGAAAAAGCCCGAAGAAACGGCGATGGAAATTATTAAACCGGACTATGACAACGTCTCCGGAAGTCTTGGAGGGTTTGAGTACCAAGACCCATGCACTGAACTCCCATCGATCCCATCAATCAACACCAAAGCAAAACCGCCTAAAAAGAAGAAGGCAAAAGTCGTGAAGAAGGCGAAGGAGAAAGTCGACAAAATTAAAATGGAGAAGTTCGACGAGAAAAAAGACGAGAAAAATGTCGAAGTCAAAAACGAGAAGATGGAGGAAGACGGAGAACATCTGCCACCTCCAACTAACACATTGGACTTGGACAGTATCAATTCGATTATGATGAATGCAGAGACGATATTGGAAGCAATGTATCAGACGGAATTGGAGAATGGCGGATTAATGGTGGAACACGTTGTCGCATTTGTCAGTTATGTGCAACAGATGTTGGACTTCACAGCTGAGATCACTAAACCCCTTGAATTGCCATGCACCATACAAACACCATTTACTGCGGAGGACGTACAACAACTGATCCTCAACCCACAGCTGATTAAAATGTATGAAGAACAAATCAACACAATCCAAAACGACGGATCTGTACAACAAGTCCAAAGCCAGAAGATCGAAGAAGAGAAGCATAAATAAATTTGAATGTATTTGTCCATCTTCTCATTGAAAGGTAGATAATATATTATATCTATTGAAGAGTATTATTACTACATAGTATTAAATTATATAAGACTACAAAAGAATCACTCGGAGTACTTGAGTCGCGCAGAATCAAGTCGTTTGACCGAAAAAGTACATTCGACATTGGTCAGCGCTATACCAGACTTCCGCATGATACGCTTCACTTTGTCTCGACATGCATTACCATCGGCATTGTCGCTCATTAACACTTTGATTGTCGAACAATAGATTTTGTTGTTGAGTTGCCAGAGGTGGAAATCGTGAACCGCAATGACTTCCTCGATATCAAGCACTTCCTTTCGTAAATCGGATATTTTGATCTTCTTGGGGACCATCTGCATGACTATACAGACACAAGAATACAATAATGGAACACCCGTAACAATCATCATCAAAGAAACTAATAAACTGAATGCAGGATCCGCATACTGCTTCTTTGGATCATCGAAAAAGTACACAATCAGTGCAACTCCCATCGTGGAAACACTTCCCATAAAGTCTCCAAAAACGTGAATAAAAACACCTGCAATATTCATGTTTCTCTTCTTCTTTTTGTGTGGAGGGTGTATATCTTGTGTGATTTGTAACGGCGGTATTTGTGTTCGAGACTTTGAAATGGGATTCTCAGTATTTGGTATAGGCTCTGGAGAGAGTTTGTTTGTCTGTTTGTCGACGTCTTCGCTTTCATTCTGATTTGGTGGTGCGAATCGACTTGGTTTTCCTTTTCGAATGAAATTTGGTGTTTGGGGCGCATTTCTTGGTGACGCGGAGATGTTTGGTGACTTTGACAAAGAATTCAAATTTGCTGAAATGTCTCTAAAATTGGCGTCGAATTGGACTTTATCGTCTTCCTCTTCGCTTTCGCTTTCATCGACGTCGATTTTAGCTTGTGCAAGGACTTTAGTGTTTGGAATAGTGATTTGGACTTCCTTTGTGTTGTTTTCCTTTTTGTTCAGATTTTCATTAATCTTTGTGTTCGTTTCTTTTGTTGTGTTGTGTCGTTTATTGAAGTTGTTAATACAAAATGAATAGTTTCCAAGGACTACCATCCCAACCACATTGACAAGTAACCCAACGCCGGCAACTATTAGAAGAACAATTGGGTTCCCAACCTCTTCCAAATCAAAGAACTTCTCGACCGACTGGATGACAAGAGAGAACCCGATTGATATTTGGAACACACTATTAATGAACGCACCGACAACTTCTGCTCGTGCAAACCCGTATGTGAAATTCTCCGTGAACGCATTTTTGACGATGAACGCGACGAAGATGCCGATGACCTGCGAAATGACATCGGACAACATAGAGAACGCGTCGGTGGTTAAAGAAAGAGATTTAAGGTATAACCCCATTGCAAGCTCGACGCCAAAATACACAAAATTGATGACAAGAACAAAACTCAGTTTGTAAATGGAGATGTCTCGATACCACTTCTCTTTCTTGAAAAAAAATTCTTGCTCACGCATGATGGGTGGCGCAACGTGTTTATCAGCAAAAACTGTAGCGGTTTTGAGAACCTCAAAAGGCTTAATAGAAGGGCTTACCTTTTGCTTTAAGTCTACACTTACTTCGCCATCCTCCATTCTATTCAAATTTAGTATTTGTGTTCTATCCACAAGATTTTTGCACTCAAATTCGTCACTCTTTTTGTTCATTTTCGTCTTTAATCATTCTGTTAGTATTAAGTATAATTCATTTACTATTCATTAGCAAATAATCATTTGTTGTACTCACAGATTTTTTTTCTTCAATTATTTTTGTGTTCCCATATTTTTTATTAATAGTACATTTTATAATAAATAATTATAAAATTTTAGTTTAAGTATTTTTATCGGAACTTTTAGCTTATGTGAGTAAAAAAGCGCGATGTGGTAATCAACAATTATTTGAAATGAAACGAAAAAACGTTTTATATAACAAAAAAATGCCTTCCAAAGTCCAACCAACACAAATTGTCAAATTACATAAAAAGACTCAATATGAGTCGTCGAGCAAATAAACATCTGTTTTGATTGGTGGGACTTCTGCTTGGTCTTTTTTGTCCCATCCCATGTACTGTTTCAACAGAATGTTATACTCCTTCAATACCATGTCCAAATAGATTTTCTGTTTCGGTCCAATACTTCCCTCTTTTTCTCCATCACATATTTCTTTCATTTCACTCACTTTACTCTCAAAATTTAATACAAAGTTTCTACGTGTTAGATTGTTCGTATTTATATTAAACAAATAGTATTATTAATAGGATTATTAATAGTATAATTAATAGTATTATAAATAGAATAAAGCTAAAACAAACCTATCGAACTCTTTCAAGTCCATGTTAATGTCTGTAAGTACTTTAGCATTCACCTTCTTCTCATCTTTAGAAAATCTGTCCCAATTGAGGTGAGATCTTCTATTCACCGTCCCTCTATACAACAATAAGTGAATAAACCCTCTCCTCACATCCGACGACCAATGCAAAAAGAGTTTATTGAACCACGTTGAGAGTAACAATCTTAGAATGATTGTTCGAGCACTCATACAGCAAATGTTCAAAACGTAGAATAAGACATTGAGGACGGACAGTATCACAATGCAATTGTCCGAATTCACCAAACCCTCCAACAACGCCATCAACTCCTCAGCGCTAATTGTACAATCTGCGGGATGTTCCGAGTCGATTTCAAATACTCTTTCATCCTTTTTCATAATTGAGTCTGAAGAATCGTCGGAGTCTATTGGGTGGAGCAGTGCATAAGCAACAGATGAAGGCACATCGTTATGGTCTGAAAAGTGTTTATGGAGTTTAGCGACGGTGTTAAGGACATCAACAACCGCTCCGAAGTCAAAGATGTTCACTGTTTTAAGTAACAGTCCCGACAACGCACTTAAGTAGTGTGGCGATATCACCGCTAATTTCTTCAACGTCCGTTTGTGTGCTCGTAAGTTGTGTCTTCTCTTCGGAGGGAAGAATTCCGAGAGGTACACGTCGGTCAACTCTGCAAAGCCGGGGACTATCCCCCACGACGTTTTACTTTCCAACAACAAGAAGTAAATCAAGTCGACAAGCTGACTATAAAACGACAAGAAGATATCATTCCCGGGGTGGTACAAATCCAACCAAGTATCTCCGCATTGATCAAATAAATCTTCTTGTTCGTCGATCCCAAGCTCTCTGATATAACTGTGAAATTGTTTCCAAGCAAACAGTCTTGGAAGTCTCTTCTTCGCGATGTCCATCTCGTCTTCCGAGACACACAAGAACACGTTATTAGCGTCTGGGAATTCCTTGATATGATCGAGGAACAACTCTTGGAAGCTTGGCATTTGGAAGTAAAGTATAAAGAGAGCGGTGGGGGCGAATCTCAAGAAATGAGCGGAGAGGCCACTTTGAATGAAATAGGAGTCTTCTGGAAGAGATGTGATTTCGCTGGCAAGTAACTTTTCTTTTTTTTCCATCTCCTTTTTCGGCTTTTTCTTCTCTTTTTCTTTCTCTTTGTCTTTCATCTGCTTTTTAATTTCTTTTCTCTTATCTTGTAACCCAAAGAGGATCTTTGTCATGATGGGAACCGACAAGATATTCTCTTGTGCATGAAAAGGAAATGGTTTGGGCTTATCTTGTGTGTTATACGTTGATGCAGAGTCCATCATATCTTCTTCTGGTAATTCCGTTGTCAATAACATGGGGTCGTCCGTCATTTCAACACGAAAACTCGCCATCAAAAAGTCTTCGAAACTTTCGTAGACGTCGGAGATGTGGAAATATGTTGTGTAGAGCATCTTCCTATAACTCTCGGACAAACAATTGATCTCGGAGGATGCCGTCCCATCAATAACAACGGTGTGATGCGGCTGAAATTCTGAGCGATTCATGATAGCTAATATCACTCGATACATCGCTTCGGAGATTTCATTCGCCGAGAGCACTTTAATCACTTCTATAGATGAGTCCCATATTTTTATTAACCCAGTGCCAATTGCAACTTGTGGTTCTCCAAATTCGGGACGGATCGGCTTCTTCAGGAGAACAGTGATCACACGAAGGTACTCATCAAATTTCAATAACAATTTCCGCTTTGCAAGTTGGTCATGCTTCTTCCAGTTCTTCAACTTCTCACCGATCGACGTGATCTTCGGCGTCGACTTCACCACATACGTCAGAAGCTGTTTGTACGTGTCCACCGTCGGAAGGTGGATCTTCCGAGGAAAGTCGTAGAATGATAAACTGCTCTCTACCGACATTCAACAGAGATTAAATAACAGTTTGGGTATGACTTGGGCTGTTTTCTTATTTTATCATTTTCCGCAAATTGTGGACAAGAAGTAGGGTTCTTGCACACTTATCTTTTGAACTAAGTATTAAACATGGCATTCATTGCTTATCGTTGTCGTTAATCTAATGATAATAATATGTTGAATTATATTTTATAGTTTATTACAAGAATTATTTTTTGCAAAGAATAACCAGGTAGGAAAAGCTGCTTTTTGTTACCCCAAATTCAACTTGAAAAACTCCACAAAAACGGAGTAACTAATTGTAAAACTTTGTATTAGAAATGCAGTTTTGTTTTTTTTCAACGAGTTGATAAAACCGACTTGTTCAACTCATTTAAAAAAATAAATAATAATAAAGAGTTGTCGTGTTCACTTCATTTGATTTGTTGCTTCATTTTTTTCATTTTTTGCATTTACTATGTAATGGGTTGTTTTTTTTTAGCAAATAATAATAAATGAATATATTATTTATTTAATTATTAAATATTAAATTATCTTTAATTTTTAATTTACGCTTATTCATTAATAGTTGTTTAATTATATTTTATAGTTCATTTTTGAAAAACTAACTGGATTAGTTATAATTAAAATGTGTTATATTATACTACTCGAGATAATAAAAAAATAAAATATACTAATATCATTTTATTAGTATAATACATTACTATTAAAAATATAACATTTTTAATTCATAATAAAAAAAGAAAATGTTATAGAACTCAATTCATACCAAAGTATACAAACAATAATTATACTATTGTGCATTTCTTAAATTTATTCTTCTTCTTTTGTTGTGACAATTGCTTTTCATGCATTTCTTTCCTTTTTTGAAGGACATCCCTTGATATTTCAATAAACAAATTTTCAACGTTGTATTTTGTTTTTGCTGAGCAGTCTAAACACAACAGATTCCACCGATTTGCAACACTTTGAGCATCTTCTTTTTTGACAGCTCTTTCCTCTTCTAAATCACTTTTGTTGCCAGCTAAAAGAATTGGAATGTGTTCTGATAACTCTATATCAAGAATTCGATATACATCCTCAATTATATTTTGGGCTTCTAAAAAAGAAGCTTGAGAAGTAATTGAATAGACAATAACATAACCATCACCACCTCTTATGTAGTTATCTCGCAGTGCTGAATACTCTTCTTGTCCACTCGTATCTTGAAGATCCAGTGATACAACTTCTCCATCAACTGTTAAAGAGGTCTTATAAGATTCTTCAATTGTTGGATCATATATACACATGAAATGTCCTGACACTTCTTGTACTGTAATTGAGCTTTTTCCAACAGCCCCAATACCAAGCAACACTATTTTAATCGGGGTTTCCATACTTATTGATAACGAGTTTCTCTTCAAATTACGTCTGAATAAATGAAAAAAAAATTTAATACACTCATCTATTTCTTCATTCTTTTGACTTCGTTTTCAAGACTATAATACATTTTGTTTAGTATAAAAAAGTTTTTATCTTATTACTATACTTTTTAAACCATTAAGTTATTTTTGATTATTAAAAACATCATCTAATTTTGGTTAAAAAAACTTTTTTCGTTGGTTTTTAATGTTATCCAAACAATTTACAACTTATTCTTGGTAACTATTAAAAACTATATTTTGTTATAAAGAAACTATATTAATTAAAAGAGGGAAAAATAATTTACCTCTAAAACTTTTTCCTTTGTTTACACTAACTTTATATTCTTTTTGTACTTCTTTTTTTTAAGGTGAAGAGGAAAAATAACAGCTTATTTAAAAGAAAGAAGTACAAAAAGAATATATTCAAACATCTTTTACTCTTTTGTTTATAAACTTTTTCGTCAAAGTTCTTTTTAAAAAACATATGAAACGTCTACCTTCATTAGTTTATAATTCTAAATTAAGTGCATGTTCCAATTTGTATTACTTGAGTGTAAATATTTTTTGTATAACATTTGAATTTGGTTTAATACAAAATTATTTTTAAAAGTGAGAATTATCGTGTCAAAAACAATCAAAAAAGTCTATTGAAGTATTTCTCATTGCTCTCCAAAAAGTTGTTTTAAAAACAAACAATTTCGTGACAAAAATTGTCAATCCAAATAAAGAATTTATGAACAATCTGTCTTTTAACGTTATATGGTACCTTTTATACCACAAGAAATGTAATAATTGGGGAAAATGTCCAAAAAATCCATTCCACTGTCATATTATTACATGTTTCACCTAATACCCGTTATTTACACACAATTCAAGCTATTGAATTCTGTGTATTTGTTTTAAGATAACGTTAACAGATCAATTATAGTAAATTAAACAACTATTTACGATTCAAATTAGTTTACTTGTTGATATCCTCCTTCTCTTCCTGCTTTTACAAACTCAAAGCCTCCACCTATGAAAATGAGAACAATTATGATGACGAGTGTAGTAACAAAACACACAACACCAGTAATATAACTGGATGACATATCAGTGTTATCTTTGGGCTTGCTGTAATAGTAACATAGTCCGTCTGTAGAATCATACACACGTTCGTAATATCTGTCTTTCTTGTTTGCACCAACTGAACCGTCATAAGCGTGCGCACATATTAAACAGTGTTGTTTCACGTTGGGCGTTGCATGTTCGCATCTATCGGATTCACAAAAGACGTGGATACCTGTGATACTAAATTTTTGATACGAACGATATCCAGGAGCACACTTTGTGCACTTCTTATACTCGCTGCATTCAAGGCAATTACTTTGATAGCATGTCGTTTTCACACAATTATCCATCGCACCTACACACCCATTGGAACACAACAAATTACATTTCTTACATTGCCGGTCAACCGTTAAAAATGCTCCAGACTCGCATTGTACACAAACATTAATCACGGTACCATTTGCGAGTGTATAATCATCGCGTTGCAAACAAAACGGTATTTCTGAAATGCACTTTGTTGCGTTCTCCGATTGTTTCACATACCCGTCATCACATGTTATACATATTCCATCCACATCATATTCGGCACAATTGGAACCTTTGTATAAACAGTAGTGATAGTTCTCTCCAGACACAAACTCGCAATTGCTGTTGTTGCGCAAACAGTCGTCTTCAGTGAGAGCTTCGGTGTTACATACAAATTTTGATCCTTGAGGATATGCTAAATATGTTAACGTTATTCAATCGGTTATTACTTATAACTACCCAATACGATTTAAACAAACAGTAACATTTCCCTTCGTACAAATTGTGATTAAAATCACATGATTGACATATTGATGTATCATCTGCATTGCACAACTCACACCCTTCTTCGCACGCTATTGATGAGCATTGTTAGAATGTGTGTGATGTTACAGAACATTAATAAAGAACAAACCAACACAAAGATTTGTATTTGGATCCAACACATATCCATCTCTACAATCAATGCAGGTATCTTCATTGCTACACGTGTAACAATTGTCGGTTTTACACACTTTGCATCTCCCGTTTATGTTCACTGAGCCTGGGAAACACTCTTCACACTCTTTGTAATTGGTACAATTTATACAGTTGTCATCTCCACAGTCATATTGACACAACTTCGTGTTGGTGTCCAGCGCCATTCCCTTTTGGCACGTTTTGCACGCGGAAGTACTTCCTTCTTCATACTCAACACAGTTTTTATCTGATCCCCCTTTATATGAATAAATAACTTAAATATCACTATTGTGAAGAACAAACGTATACACTTGTTATTGCTCAACGCATAGCCTATTGCACAAGAAACGCATTTGTGGTTTTCGTCGTACAGCGCGCAATACGCATCATCGTTTAAACACTTTCCATCTTGTAAATATGTGTTTGGTGGACATTCATCACACACACAAGGGGACACAAAGTGGAGACAAGACTGGACATCTTTATCTGTGAGCGAGCATATATTGCACATTTTAGATGTGGTATTAAAAATAAAGCCGGGGACACATTTGTTGCATGTGTATATCTTAGTGAGCGGATCGACTGTGAAATCGAGACAATACTCATACCCACCTGTATATCACTTTTGAGATCTAAAATGAATCATAGCATTAAACAAACTTTTACAGGTAGAGTAGTAATAGTCGTAATAATATCCAGCTTCACATTTGGAACACTTGGAATTTGTTGTCTCAACACAATGAACAATATTCTTTGCTATTTATTAGTTACTTTAATTAAAAAATAAATTAATTCAATAAAAACAAACGGACACAGACACTGTTCACAAATAGATAATCATTTTTACAGGTCGTGCAATTATAATCCCTTGATTCCTCATCACAAGTCAAACAACCGGGATTGAAACATGAGATTTTCGAATTTGAAAGAATGACAAACAGAAAGATGAGAAACATGAAATTTATTAGATTTTATGTGGTTATTATTTTTATAAGATTTGTTTAAATTATAATGCAAACTATTATTGAAAAATGTATTTTTCATTTAAATATTAGTATTTTTATTTCAAACTAAAGTAGATAATTATCTTATTTAAAGTTTGTTATGGAATGTTATTTTTTTTAATTTATACACAAATAATTGTTTAAAATTCAGGGACTTAGGTAAAATTGAATAATTTGGGAAAAAAACTGAAACAACTATTTTTAATATTTGAACATGATCCCGATATTTTCCATTTTTCATCGACCAAAAAGCCCAGAACAACGTTTTCCGACTAACTCTAGTATTTTTAATTATATTATTTTATAATTTAGTTTTAATAAAATATGAAGAACTTATTGTTTGAATATGATTTTTAATTATTTGTTAATATATTGTTAATAAAGAATATAAATTTGGGTTGAATTTTTTACTTAAATTATTTATCAATAGTTAAATCAATTGTTTAAATTTTTAATATGATAAGTCTTCAATTTAAAACATGAAAATTTTAATGAAGTGTAAGGTTTATATATGTGTTGTTGTTTAATCATTTGTCAAATCTTTTAATATTCAAAAGCTTTTAATTTTTTTAATAGTAATAAATCAAGATTTTTTTTCATAACACTTATTTTATTAAAATTTTATAATAAATAAACAATTGTCTAAAATACAATTTCAATTTCAAAAATGCAAGCATTTTATTGGGTTATAAAAAATAGTAAAATATATTATTAAAAAACTATATATATAATTACTTTAAAATTGAGTCATTAATTGTTTTGAATTCAAAAAAGCCAAATGAATTTCAGATCTTTTCCAAATTTCAGTTTTATCAAAAAAAAATTCTTATAAAAATCATATTTTAGCTTTATGAAGATGTTGTTGCTTGTTGTGTTTATATTCATGTTGGGCGTTTACGCGGAAGAAGGAAACGACTTTGCAATGGAAGACGACTTTTTTGACACTGATGGCACTAAAAATGTGAAGAAAGTAGTTAAAAAAGGAAAGAAGGCCATAAAAGGTAAACACAAGGGATTGTTTTATAGTCACCTCTTCGGAAAGGGATATGGATATGCAGGAGTTCCTACTATGGATGCTGAGAGATACCCACTGAACTGTTTACACCACCCAATGCTCCGCCAAATTTGAGTAATTAATTAATTGGTGTTTAATTCATTTTTCTTTATTAATTAATTCGTTTCTATATCTCGTTTTGTGATTTTTTTTGAAAACAAAAGATTTTTATTTGTTCAGAATGAGAACAAATAAGAACGATGGGAATAAATAATATAGTATATTTTATTAATAAATGTATTATTTTAAATATTATTTAAAATTATTTTCAAAATTTTATTTAAAGATTTTTGGAAAGAAAAGGAAATTTTTAAATAATGACGAACTATATTTTAGTAATAACAAATTATTATTTTATTAAAAAAGTATTTTGTTTTTGATACCAGTAGATATAATATTTATAAATTAGATGGATCTTAGAAATAATTGTTTATCAAAAAAAAATAATAATTATTCTTTTCAAGTTATTGGATTTTTGTGGAACAATCAAATTAATCTAAATTTTTATAATAATAACTAATATAATGAATTATTCGAAACAAAAAATAATTGATCCATTCATGATACTAAATATGATTAATTAATTAATTATAGTTGGATTACTTCCCAAAAAAAATCGTCTAATAAATTAAAAATAAAACAACTCAAATTCGGTTTTTTTCAAAAAATTCAGATTATAGAAAAATTTAATGTAATAAAAACATTAAAAAATCAGTAATTGTGACCAAAACAATGAAAAAAAGTATTTTGATTTTACAAAAATCGTTTTACAATACTACATATTTTAGTAACAAAATAATAAATATATAACAAATGAATGGAACTTTATAAAGAAGGTTTACCCATTTGTACTATATAAAGGTACAATACATCTTTAAAATCAATTTCTATGCTTACTTTTATACTACTTTTTGCTTACGCTCTGTCACAAACAGGCATATGCAACACATACGTGACGATCGATTCCAGCACTACCATTGATCAAACACTATTCAAGGGCACACAGAAGAATTGCTACATTATAATCAATAAAGGAGGTTCTATAACCATTGATGAATTCTCTGGGTTAGGAAAGCTTATCATATTAAATAGTAATACAGTCACACTTAAAAAATTCACTTCTGGCTTTATTGAAAACACTGGAACACTCACAATTCAAGGCGCTACTGTAGAATCAAAACTCCAGAATTTAGGAACAACCACAGTTGATTTCGCTGTTTCAACACTAACATTTGGATACCTTAGTAATTCAGGTACTTTGAAATTCAGTGAACCCACAAGTTCAAACGAAGAAGAGGTTGTTCTCACTTTTAACCAATTTTATACATCTTCTGCTGTGGTTGTGTCTTCAAAGTATAAACTTAATATTGACTTATTGGGAACCCTAGACGCCTCTATGGGTAGCACTGAGTCCATTGCAATTACTTCACAGAAGTTTAAAATCAAAGTTGCTCAAGTAGACTCTACTTATTTCTTCTCTCAATACTACAACGTCATCACCTTTTATAAGACCACCAATCCTCAACAACCATACGTAAAGTGCACAGCTACAAGCGGACTACCGCTCTCAAATCTCCCAAACAGTCAAGTAGAAGATATAATGTGTCCTTGCCACTTACTTGCAGCAGACTGTAGACTTGACTATGGAAACATCCCAACTACTGTTACCGTCGGAGTAGACACAAAACTGAACGAGGTGACGGGATCAGATGTCACTATCAAGGGATCAAGTGATGCTATCAAAATATTCATCACCACATTAAGCGCAACTAAATCACATTTGCAAAGAGCTACATTTACGGTCACAACAGCATCAAATCCTGTTGATACAAATGGTGGAAGTGTCTCGTTTTCATCTTTTACTGGGACATCACTGGTCGGAAAGAACACAAAACTTGTAGTCTCGTCTACGACCACCCCAACATACACCATCGAAGGCGGTTCACTCATGTTACTCGCGTCTTCTGGTAAACCAACAATCATAACAAATGGTACAACTGTTAAATCAACTGTCACTTTTGGTGCTATTTCTTTCAGTGCGACTGTCAACTTGGGCCAAAACGGAGAACTCGACTTAACAAGAATTACTGGCGTGTCAACTGGTAATGGTGCACCATCAATAATAGGAGTTTCAGGGGCAGTGGTATACCCACCATATTACCAAGATCCATTGCAAACACTTGGACTTTTAAATAATGAATGGAAATCGTCATGCGATAAAATGAAATTAACATTTGACACTTCACCAACACCTCCAACCTGTTCTCTTTGTGAAGTTGAAGATCCTTTTAATATAGACCATTTTGGTTGCACAGCTTACAAGACAAGTGGTCTAAACACACTTACAGTGACTGGAGAAGTAGTTACAACAATTGGTTCAAAGAGTTTAACAGTCTATAGAGATGGATTAACTATAGCTACGTTGGCAACATTTTCCCTTCTGGATTTGTCGAACAGACAGAACATCGTCATCACATCGAGCTCAACATCAACCACTCAAACAGTAAAAATCGTGCAACTCATTAACTACAAGTCGCTAACATTGAACGGTATAACCCTTGACTTGACAGGTGTTACTGCTAATATAGCATTGGCGTCGCTCACTCTTGTGAACTCAGTTGTGAAATATCCAGCTCTTGTAAGTAGCACAAACAAAACAGTTAATATTGGGACCCTTTCGATGGACTCTAAAAGTAAGGTAGAGGTGCCAACTGGATATAAACTTGTTGTTGAGGCAGCAAACTTCGATATGTCTACACTCGAAGGTGATAACAATGGTCCACTGATCAACACGGATTCATTTGCATCGTTTGTAGTTAACGGAATCGTTTCTGTTCGAGACCCTCCAACAGCAAGTGGCTATGTGATTATTGCCCAAAACCCGAAGCACCAAGTATTCCAGGGATCATTACCAACACAAATTCAGAACAAATGTTTCCAAAGAGCATTAGTGTATGTTGGTGGTTCTGATAGTTTCAGTTGTTCACATTTTACAGATTTAGCAACAAAAACATGTGTTGTTGATTCCAAAGCAATTAAAGACACTGTTAACTTAGATCTCTTTGAGAATTATGTTGACAATTATGATAATGCCTGCCCGTGTTATCATGATATCACTGGTAAAGGTGGCAATTGTTCTGTCCAATTGGCTGTTCCAACAGGTGTTACAAAGACATTGGCATTTTCCACTAAAAATGAACAGCGATTTACTAACTTGGAACTCACTGGAAATGTTGAGACTAATATCAGCACTTTTGTTATCTACGATCAACTTACTTTGAACAAAGGAGAAATTGTATTGGGTTCTGTTGGAACACTTAAAGTTTCGAACATTGTTGTGAATGATGATGCTCAATTGATTTTGAACACTCAGATCACCATTGGTTCTATCACTGTCTTGGATGGAAAGAAGTTTATTATGACGTGTTCTGAAGACACTTTCATTGAAGGCACTAACACTGGAGAACCTATCAGTTTGGTTGTTAAAAAGACTTTAACAGTGAGAGGAACATCAACAGTTCTTACAGTGAGTTCTCTTGATGTCAAGTTGACAACCGACGTGACTAGTAAAGTCTCATTACTTGGTAACAGCAAGCTTACATTTAAGGATGCCACGTTGTTATTTGAAAGAACGGCTTTGTCACATGCCACGATCATTGACGCTGAATCCACTTCTTCAATTGATTTTATTACTAAAGAAAGTGCGGACCCAGCTATTACCATTGAAATGACTGGAAAATCTGGAGCAGCCGAATGTAGTGCACTGGCTACATTTGCAACGCCAAGCCCATATGATCATAGATTCTCTGCAAATACCTCACAATCTGATATAGGATGTGCAGGTACAAAATGGGTTGTCTGTCCAGCCACTAACCTTATTAAAAAGTATGTTTGCTTTGGAAGTACTGAATGCTACTTTGTTGATCCCACCGCAGACACACCAACAACGGTTTTGGCTTCAATTGGTTCTTTGTATCAAAACACTAAGGATTGTCCCTGCAGCAACAAGGAAGCGGGTGGAATTTATTCATCTGATTGTAACACAAGAATTCCTGGGACATATAGTGGAAGAACTATAGCCAATATCACTGGTAATTTCAACAAATTAAAGGTCGAGTCGTCTCTTAAATTAATGTTCAAAGGCGACGTCTCTGTTGTCGAATTTTCATTGAGAGGAAAAATCGAAATGGCGGCTGAAACCAACGAAAAGGCGTCACTCACGATGAACACTATGAACGTGTACACCAAGCAACCGACTAAACTCACTTTTGAACTCCCAACTAAAATTGGTGCAACAAAGTCGGGTGAAACGTCTTCATTGTTATTATTATTCAAAAACACATCAATTATTGGACTTGGTAATGTTGCTAAAACAGCGGAGGGAGGAAAGATTATCTCTTACTTGGGAAATTCAACATCAGTGACTATCACTGCAGAACAGAGCTCAGAAGACAAAGAAGCCAAATTCACACTGCTTCTGGGACCTGAAGTTGCGAACTCTGATATCTCACTGAGTGGTAACATGCCATTCCATGTTCAAGGCGATTTCTTAGCTCGTTCGGTTGTTGTGAGTAGAGGTGGACATGGTGACGAAGTTGATAAAATGCCTTTTATTGTTCTTGAAGAGAACAGATACTTCTCAGTTGAGTCGTTGTCTGTTATTCCATTGGAGCTCACATCGTATGTAGTGACGTACGCGTCTGACATATATCACGTGAGTATTGCAAATGAGGATAAGATGTCGCAGTCACTGAAGACAGACATAGACCACTCGATGTTGCTGTACAAAACAAGTGCAGACGATGAGACAAGACCACCAATTCTATGTGAGTTGACTGTGCCTGTACCAGAAGAGCCAGACACTCCAGACGTAACACCAACTGCTTTTGTCAAGATGGAAGGCGAAGACAACACAACAACAATTGTGTGTGTTGTACAGTACAACGAGACTGTAGCAGACAACGCAAAGATATACAACAGAAGTGGATGTCCATGCAATGGAAGATACTGCGTGACTACAATAACAGCAGAATACACAGCACTCATCAACGCAACATCAATTGGATCATCCGGTCAAATAAACCAATTCATTGTTCAAAACACAAAAGCAGTTGAAGTTGCAAGTGACATTCTGAACACAAAGGTGATGACAGTCAATGGGGATGCACCAGTCGTCTTCTCGATCGACACGTTGACAGTTGGTAAAACATTTGAATTCAACGCAGACACCGTCAACATGACATTCAACAACACAAAGAAGATGAGCATTGCACCATTCACAATCAACCAACCACAAGACTCAAACAAATCAATCCATGTAGCACTGTACTCACGCAGTTCGTCACTCTCTAACAACTTTGAATTCTCAAAGGTTGATGTGTTTGATGACTTGGTTGTTGAAGATGCAGCAGACAACGAGCGAATGGCACTGTTTGTGACATCGTCTGCATCAACAAACATCACCAACTTGGAGGTGAGCAACGCACGACTCTATCTCCAACAGGGCAAATTCAACATTCTCGACAACGAAGTTGTCTTGCTCATCAAAAAGCCAGAGGCATTCCCACTGATGTTTTCAACTGGTGCTTCAGTCAGTTGGCCAGAAGGCACAATCAAGATCGTTGTCGACCCATCACTCCCCAAAGACGTGCCAATCTTCATCATGAGAGTTGGTCTTGGAAAGAACTTCACAGCTGAAAACGGTGTGAAATTCAGTGTTGTAGAAGGGACAAAAGCAACACATTTGAAGAGCGCGTCATTCTCGTCATACACTGTCAAACAAATCTGTTCGATTTATGTTGCACTTGTGCCAAGCGATTTTGTCGAAGCAGGATATGAGTGCCCAACAGATCCAACTGATGCAAGTGAACAAAACAACCTTGAACCAATTGTCAAAAAGGATGTGCCAACATGGGTCATTGTCATCTTGATCATCATCGGTGTCTTCATTGTCATCATCTTGATCTTGTTTGTCGTATTTATTGTTGTTGCAAGAAAGATCCTGTTGAGAAGAAGAAACCTGAAAGTGTTCAACGACGAAGACAACCTGTTCTTCCAAACAGCAGAATCATCAGAAGAGACAAAAGAAACAACAAAGGAGGAAACTAAAGATGACTCCCAGAAGTCGGACGAGTCTTCTTCGTCATCACTGTCATCGTCATCAAAATCAGACTCAAAATCAGGTTCTGGAAGCAAATCCGCAAGCGAGTCCAAGAGCAAATCAGACAACAAAGACAACAAAGACAACAAGTCAGAGAGCACAAACGACGGTTCCTCAGACTAATCAAATCCTTTGCTTCTTTATTTTTTTTATATTACACATATATCGTCAAATTTAAAAAACGGACTGATAAATGTTCCACTATTAATTAAACAATAAATACTTAAGTTTTTAAATAATCCGATTTTTGGATCAAAAAAAGTTAAGATGAAGATATTCCTTATTTAGTCTTAACCCTTCCAATACCAGAAATATGATTGTTATAACACACATAAAAATGAATACAGTAAAAATTCTATC